TAACTGCTGCTCCTACAATCATCCTAACTGTTCTAGTCTCGTGAATCTTAACTGCTGCCCCCAATTCCATCCTAAATGCTGTAGTCTAGTGGATCTTAACTGCTGCTCCTACAATCATCCTAACTGTTCTAGTCTCGTGAATCTTAACTGCTGCCCCCAATTCCATCCTAAATGCTGTAGTCTAGTGGATCTTAACTGCGTACAACTATTGTCATCCTAACCGCTGCTCAGATCCAGCATAATAATATAGATTTTCTACTAGTTACAATACAATGAGGAGAAGTACATTAAAAATGTACACTAAAATGTACAATGTTAATGAGACTGTTCATAACACTGTGCTCCTGAGACTAAATGAACACCTTGCCTATCTCACTAAGATGTTAATTTGTCACACACGTTGACATGCTTTCATAAGAACAGTTACATAGTTGATATCCTTTGCCTTATACTCAACTGTATTCATAATTACTGAAAACAATCATTAAAAGTTTTACTTGTTCACTCAAAGTATAGTATTTAGGGCAATTAATTAAGAATTCTCACAACTAAAATGCTTTATTAAAACCTACTTAAAGTAACTGAGCTACACCACATACAGACAGTTAATATATGACTCTCTCACTGGCCCTTGCTGGGAACTGACGGGGGTTATATTAATGAGATGTATAATGTTACAAATGTTATCACAGCTTCAAACAATAAAGCAAGCAACACTATGATTACAAACATATGTCACACAAGTATTACTTGAAGATGTTTAACAATTCACATGATGAGGAAACAAACACATTTTGGTGAATTAAATACTTCTTGGAATTAGAAATTAAAAAACTCAAGAATCATAATAGGAAAAAAACCTTGACCAGAACACATTTTCATTTACAGTAAAACATATCAGAAAATTAAAGGAATTTAAAAACTAATTAAAGAATCTGACATGGAGCTAACCCATTTCACAGCAGTTATACTGTTATAGCAGTTTCAAATACTAGTCTGAGAAGTTTCCTGTTTCTCATTTGAGTGACAAGGTGTGTTTCTTGTGTATTGCTTAGGGGTCGGTTTGTTTATCCAGGTGTAAAACTGTTATTTTGTATACATTCACAGAATGTGTACACAATGAACCATTAGGTTTTTTTTTTTAGTTTGGGGATACATATCCTGAATCTGCTAGTAACATTTATATTTCATAATTTTTCTTAAATTTTAAGTTGTTTTTTTTTGCATCACGAAAATGGTGTCTCCAAGTAGAAATCTTTACAAATTATGTATTTTACAGGTATTCAAGTTATGATGCAAAAACAGTTCATTACTCAATGTTAATATATTTTAACTTTAATATCCTCTGCATATCAACAGAGTAAAACAGAGTAATACATATCCTTTACTGTTACTCTTAATCATCTAAAAATAAAATAAAAAAGAATTATAAGACTCCACAAATGCTGACAATGCAGAGTGGCTAATATTATATAATCTTACATTACTGCAAAAGAAGAAAAACCCCATTCACAAGTTTCTCAATTTTTCTTAATATTTATATCACACATGATATGACAAACTTTTTTAAACATTTTCAACACCACTACTTTTATATTTTTCTTCACCATATCACAGGATGTAGAGAATTTTAATACAATAACCAGTTCTCCAATATATTTTTCTGGATTTAACATATCACATAATGCAAATTATAACATTAAAACCTTTTAATACCACTACTTTTGAATACTCTCTTCATCAAAACTTTTCTTTGGACCCATAAGACAAGAAATGTCAGAGATCATTGTTTTTTTTTAAACACACAAAATCTTTCTGTGCTTTATTTTCATAACAATTTTTAAACTATATAACTTAGACAAATAGGACCATTGAAAGTCTAAGTCACACTTATGAATGACTGAAACAAAACCCATTCCACACAACCTTCATATTCACAAAAACAAAAAATATCCACATTGGGATTTTTACGACTTTAGTATGTATTATTTTTCTTCATTACGTTTTTCTGTGAATTACAACCAACAACTTCTCCAGTCAACATTTTAGTTATAAATTACAACACTGTATCCATATCCACTCTGACTTATACCAAAGGGTCACAAGTTTAGTTCTAAAACAATTGTATTGTTGCCCATAAGTGGTTGAATTATGGGCTAATTTGTGTTTGTCACCTATAACATTTTCCATACTTTTCCAATCAAAATAGCTTTTTGTTTTTTGAGAAACTCTGTACAACATAAAACTACTTATGTTACAGCTAAGTTAACATGAGTATTAACACTGGAAAATACCTATGTTACAGCTATGTTAACATGAGTATTAGCACTGTGAAAAGTGTTAACTTGCATAATGTAAAAACTTTCCTTTAATACAAATGATAAATGCACTCTTAAAAGTACAGATATTTCAAATGTATATCATAAATAAGAAATAGAATTGAATACACCAGATAAAGACAGACAATATGTAAAATATTTTGGCAATATAAACTTAGAATTGGCAAGCCAGGATATTAGGACACATCATAATTTATTTTACAAAAGGAGCATAGAAAATGTTTTCAAAATATATTACAATGGCTTTTGTAAAATGAAGTTACAAGGCACTAAGCCCACAGAGTAGCAGATGAACAATAATAATGTTTTCCACATGACAAGTTCTTCACAGTCAGGATAATTCTTCCCCGCACACTAAGCCTAAAGAGTAGCAGGTGAATAACATTTTCCTCATTAGCAAGTTTTTAAGATCACCCTTCCCTGCACACTAAGCCTAAAGAGTAGCAGGTGAACAATATTTTCCTCATTAACAAGTTTTTAACAGTCAAGATCACCTTTCCCTGCACACTAAGTCCAAATAGTAGCAGGTGAACAACATTTTTCACATGACAAATTCTCCGTAGTTAAGATCATTCTCCTCTGTACACTGAGTACAAAGTGAAGCATGAGAATAACAATAATGTTTTCCACATGACAAGTTTTTAACGGTCAAGATGATCCTTCCCTGATTTTTCTACACAACACCTCACTCAATTCTAATCCACTTTCTTTTTAAACTGTTAAAAAAATAAAAAAATAGCAAGCATAGTAAAATTTAAAGTTGGTTTTGCAAAGATCATGACAGAATTACCTATCCCAGAGTATTAATTTATAACATTCACATATAAACACACAAAAAAGAATATATACATATATAAATATTATATATATATATATATATATATATATAT